TTTATTGAAAAAAGTGATTTTTCTCAGAAAGAGATTCAAATTATCTTTGAAAAAAAATGTTGATCTTTCATTAAATGTTATCTTTCAGTAAATGTTAAACAGTTAAACGTAACAGTAAACAATTCAATGATAAAATAAGTCAATTCGCTTGTTTTTTATACCAGTAGTCCGTTAATATTTAAATAACAAATAAAACTGTTGAAAGGTTTTAAAAGTGTACATATTTATCATCATAAGACAATCTAAAATTTACGCAAATACCTTGACGACTATCGCCAGTGCTAAATTTAGAACTTAGTAACACCTAATAATGTACTTCTTTAAGAGCCTAATAAAATAATTTCCCACAAGACTTCGAACTCGAACTCGAATGCGAATGCCAATGCGAAAATATTATTAATTCATTATTTAACCTTTTTGTTTTTGCACTTCAATGATATCGCAAATATTGACACTTCTAAATTATAAGTAAACAAAACTTTTCGAACATTTTTCTTAAGAATAAATTTAAAAATAAATACAATAAAATAAAATTAACATGCTTTGTCGGCTGAAACGCTAAAAAGCCTAAGCAGTAAATTTACTTACATACATACATGCGCATACAAGTTCTCATATAAATCGTAAAGCCCAGAACGGACCAAAAAAAATCCAAATGCCAATCAGCAAAACGAATTATAATGAATTTTGGGCAAAAGCTACACTGAATGTTAACAAATAAAACAAAAACAAACATCGCACATACAACAACGAAAAACAGTAGAGCACTTTGCGTTTGAAAAAAGCACAACAACAACAAAATAAAAGTTGGTCAAAAGAAGTAAAATTTGACGGCCACAACTAAAATGGCGACCAAAAAAAGGTGGGCGATGAGATCATAACACAAAAGTGGCGCGCATATTGACCAAAAAAACGAACGTTGCCAAAAATTCAAAATACAGAAAAAAATACCTTAAGCCCTAAGAACATAAAAGCCACAGACGCAGACTCTGAAGATATTAAAAAAGATGACCAACTTTATTGAAGATAGCACCACTATTAAGTGATGTCAACTTATTAAAAACTTAAATCTTTTCACAGCTCAACTAATTCACAGACAATAATTTTTATTCGACCTGTACGTTTATTAAATTTAGTAAAAATGGAGAATTTTTTTATATCTTCCTTAATTGAAAATTAATTATTTTATGCCTCAAACATAAAAACTATTAGAACTATTGGAGAATACACGTATAATTTGCAAAAATTGATTATCACAATAATAATTCATATGAATAAGACAAAATCACTACGTTTTTACTGTGATTTTTATGCTGTTCCCGGATGCTTTGTATTCAAGTTTTTCGTCAAATTCTGGCAAAAAATTTTGATAACATCAGCAATGTCAATCAACTTTTTTTATAATTGTGTATACTAAATCAAAATTTATATTTGAAAGCCATATTTAATTTTTTATTTAATGATATTTGGTAAACTCTTAAGATATGTGAAAACGTTTTTGCACTCTTTTATAACATACCTATATACAAAAAGTGGAGTTTACAGTCAATAAAGAATAAAAAACAGAAGTTAGATATGGCTTTACTGAAATTATAATAGAATACGTAGAGTTATTTAACATTCTTTAATAAGGATTGCCCATACTTGAAGCCTAAAATGTGTTTTATTACTATCATAGTCAAAAAATAGTTCAAAATTTGGTCAAATGACATTAAAAAAATCTCAGTACTACTTTTTAAAATAACAAAATCAGACTGAATACGTCGTTATTACTAGCTAGAGTTGCTGCAAATAATATTTTAAAAACCTTATTAAATCCTAATTAAATATCCCAATTAATACCTGGGCTTACTTTACCAGAACGTGCTCCAGACCTTTGTGTCAAACAGTAAATCAAAAAAACAGTAGTAAGAAAATTTCAGAACTATTTCCTAAAGTAATTTAAACCGACATTAAAAATATTTGTATTACTACCTCAACTAACTTTATCACAACGGTCCACAAACAGTTGTGTCAAACAGTTAGGTAAAATTTCGTCAAATAATATTAAGAAAATCTCAGCACTATAATCTAAAGTAACTAAATGAGATATCGAAAATCTCTTATTACTACGTAGACTTACTTTACTAGAAAAGAAATCAGACCTAAGTGTGTTTCAAGACTTCCTTCTTAGATTGGATTTATTTTTTGATGCAGCATTTACATAAATATTTTTATTGTAAATCGATAAACAGTTCAAAAACTTTCAAGTTTCAATAATTTAATTGCAACAATTTATACAGAGATTATCACAGACACAAAGATATTACAGATAATCTATATTGCAGTTTAAACTTAAATAAAGTTATACGTATAAATAAACTCCTAAACATTATTGCAAATGTGTTCTATTTTTGTACATAGTTTTTGCATTTACATTGTTATATTGTCTTATCTTCTGTTGATTGCATTCGGCATGCAACCAGTGCTCAAGTCAACACAATTATATAAAAGATTTAAATAATGAGAAAGAACAATAATAATAGTAGCAACATTGGTGAGTATTCGATGTAGCAAGTTTAAATACCTTAAATAATAAGGTATAACTATAATAAGGTGCAGCTCCTTTATTTAGTGATAACATAGAATAAATATCATGCATATGGATTCAGTTACTTAAGAAAGCTCGGTAAGATTCAAATAACAGTATTCCATTTTCCCCAGTAATTTAAATAAAAACAAATAATCCTATGCGATTTTCGTAAGCCTGTACATAAAATTAATGTCTTAATGGAATTCATTTTATCTACTGTGATCTATGTCTTACTAAATTTTATAAATTTTTGAATCCAAAAGGTCGAAAAGTTGCAAAGTTAATTTTGGTTTATTGCTTTGCCAGTTTTACATCCAGTTGATTTAAAAGGTTACAAAACTTATCTGGGTTCATTGCTTTAACAGTATGGAGATAAAACATCAACAAAACTCCTTTTGCTCTGTGTAAGAACTGATCATTCTTTAGCCTCAGAATCATGGCAATAAATCGATTTACAAAATACACAATATGGTACTTCTCATCTTTATTAGAACTCTCCAAATTTAACTGACAATTAATTAATCAATTTGGCATCCATTACCCACACACTACAGCCTAATAATACAATCAATCAAATCTTTCAATAATACACATTAAATTAAAATTTCTTTACATATTATAATAATTTTTTTTTTAAATAGTTAAAAATTAAAGTATTTGTATTTATATGTAATACATTTACAAATATCTATACATATATATGCAAATGATATTTTCTCTTTTAAATCTTCCCATAATTCTATGTTAATTCGATATTCATTTTTTAAAAACATTATATATATGTAGTATTTAAAAAAACTATCTGTTTTCTCTTATACGGGTACATTATTATAAATGCAAAATAGTCTCACTTGACGTGTATACAAATTAAAACTTCATATACAATTAATTTTCATTGTAAATATAATTTTTTAAATTATATTTTATACAAAAATATTCAATACCTTTTACTGTCGACATTATGTATAATTAACGTGCTATAATTATAGCATATCACTTCATTAAAAATTTTCCCAACTCATCTGTAATTATGCAAATGATGGAGTACGCCATTTTTGGTGTTGTACGTTAAAACAAATTAAAATTAGTGACAAAAATTTAAAACAAGCATGAATTAAATTTATTTTAAAATTTATGGCAGTCAAGTCCATAATTAAAGTATTCGACGATTTTTAAGACACTAAAAAAAATTAAGAATCCAAAGCATATACAATAAATATCAGGCAATTATATTTACAATTGTGTAAACAATATGTAAATATTGTGACTATTTTGGTGTTAAGGAAGTCGGCATTTGCTTTTTTTTTGCAAAATCCAATACAATTAGTTGCATTTATAGCAAATGTCAGACGTAACCATAAAAAAACAATTAACACATCCGCCTTTTATTATTATTAAAAAGTGCAAAATTTAAACTTATCTAATCTTCACCCACAAAATTAAGATTAATTCAAACTTTTTCTTTGTCTACTTGTATTCAAATTTTTTGCAAGTCCGTTAAAACATAACAAAACCCATAATTAATGTGAGTAGAAATTTATTAAAATTATAGTTTCCGGTAATTAGCTTTAAGTAAATGCCTGAAAGCTTTTGAAATTTTACCAAATCCTATTTTACTAAGGTTTTTGAACTCTTTTAGATAATACAAAACTCAAAAAGTAGCTCAATATTAATGTGAGAAAAAATGTGCCATGCGTAAAAATCGCCTAATTAAAAAGTAATTTACTTGAGCAAATTTATTTTCATTCATTTTTTTATAAGAATAATATATAAATGCAATTATAATGGCAAAAAGTGTACGAAAAACCGTTGTACTCTACAGTCTAAAAGTAGAAACTAGAATTAAAGATTTTATTACAAGAAACGCTATTGGTCTATTTAACCACACTTTTATGTAAGTCAAGACTAATTCGGTACTTGTGCGAGTTTCACAGCATTCTACTACTTTTGACTCTTGTTACCGATTAAGTACAACTTTATTGTGCTCCCACAAACTAACAAAATTAAGTCTTATATTACATGAAGAAAAAGATGTTAAAATAAAAAAAAAACACAGCACACAAAAATTAAGTAAGAAACCATTCAAGAAGAATAATAAGTTCTGTGCCTATAACAAGATCCAAAAGACCAAAAGCCCAAATTACACAAGTTTTTTTTTTAACATTGCAGTTTCTTTTGCACACAAGAACGCTGTAAAGAACAACATCAACAGCAAGCGCAGCAGCAAAGAACAACAAGAGAAACAGTGCTAATAAAAATAACAAAGAAAAACAAACGAAACAAAAGCAACTTTAATCACATATTTGCTACTCACTTTTGTTTTCTTAACCCCCATTTTAAACTCTACTCCACTCCACACCACAATACTACTTGCATACTTTACTTCATTCATATTTATGCAGGCGTTTTGCTCTCTTTCTCATTTCAGTTAAACAAAAACAACAACAATAATAATAACAACAACAGCTACAAAAATTAAAACAGCAAACTTCGTTAAAATGACATCGGCTGCCGTCGTTTCCGTCGTTGCCGAAACTAAAACAGCAACATCAATAAATGAAGTAAAGTTGACTTGGCCAAAAGAAACCCCATATTAGCGACGCTAGTTAACAATCGTCTGTCGTCGTGTGTTGTCGTTGGTGTGTTTGTGGTTTAACACAAAAATTAAAGAACGCGTGCGCCGCGGCGGTTTCCATGTGATTTTTTTTAAATATATTTTATTAAATTTTTTTCGAATTTTTGCTTTATCCCAAATAAAATATTTAGAATTGTTACTTGCATTCAAGTGCTGCTATAAATTATAGCAAAATTTTTTGACGGAAAATATTTATAAGAATATTTTTTTCCTTAAATGAATAATGAATGCTTTTTTAAGAATATATAACCGCAGTGTATTAAAATGTGAATTTTTAAAAAATTGTGAAATTTGCTTTTAGCAACAAAAATTTTTGATATAAAAATATTTTATTCAAATTGCAAAAAAAAATTTAAATCTGTGATTTAATTAAAGCAATATTATAACACAATTAACTAGTAGAAAAGCAGCTTTTATAAAATGGGTACCAAATCTCCAGGCGGTCCGCAGCGTTGCAGATTAATATTGCAACAATGTTTAGCAATACAACTAAGTAAACCAGGACACACACCTGAAGATTTTTGGATGTACGATTCTGGATATATGATATTTCAGGTAAGAAATGATTTTAATTAAATATCTTGCAGTCAATATAAGATCTTAGAGCACATAATAATTATTTGATTAAACATTATGTGAGGTCTTCATGAAGGTCTAAATATAATATATGTATGTTTTATATTTTTATTATAATTTAAAAAACATTTCAAAACAATATTTTAAAAAGAAATTATCTCAAAAAATATATATTTGAGAAAGCAAATATTTAACAAAAAAATAGATTTTTGTAAATATTTAGCACTGGTATGGATTCAAAAAAAAATTTTTTAAATATTACTTATATTATTAACTTAAATTAAATGTTATTAGAGATAATCTTTAAAAAACATATCTGAAAGTAAACAACATAAGTTCAATTTGTATATACATCGAGAGCTAAATATTTGTTTAAAAAATTTTAGCCTTTTTTTAGTTCACCATTATTTATTTATACTGATTAAGGTTATTGGGCGTTCCTACAAGCCTTAATTAATATGATTTAATATTTAAATATAAAATTAAAATAATATATATTAATCGTGATTATTATCAATAAATTAATTAATAAATTATATTTGATAAATAATTGATAATTAACAAAATATATATGATATGTACTTTTTTATAAATATTGCAATTAAATATAAGTTGCACTTTAATTTTTTATTACATTAATTGGGATATAATACAATTTTACAATACAATTTTTAAATTATTTTATTAACAAATCTGTTGCATTAAAAATAAATTGAATACTAATATAAGCTATATAAATAATTAGCTTAATTTTAATTTTTTTGTGGTTTATGTAGAATTAATTTTAAAGTTAAAATAAATTTAATTTTAAATATAAAAAAATATAAAAAAATTTAATTCCATTAAAATGACTTTAATGTTATAAGTAACATAATATATAAAAAATGCGATATGAAATCTGAGTTAGGAGTTATACAGAAAACTTGAAAGAAATTTTTTTACTTTATTAAAATATTATTTATTATACAATAAATTCTCAATTATACTACAATTTTTAAAGCATTATATTATTCATAAAATTGATAATAAATTTTTTAGAGTGTAATTAAAGTAATTTAATCTGAAATTGGCTACATGTAGGCTTTTTATAGTTTCTCCAAAGTCAATAAAGAACTGGAAGATTTATGTGAATATTTTTATAGTTTTTCATATATTTTAACAGTCAATATCAATTATTAATATTATTTAATTTATATTATATAAGTATTAGGATCTCAAGATATCAAGATTTTCAGAATTTTAGAATTTTGGAGTTATGAATTGTAAATTTTGATTTAATTAGTTGGTAGTATTTGCCACCTTAAGTTTTTCCCCTTGGTGTGCCTTTTTTAATCCACACTGTGAAAATGTAGCAAACAGCATCACTTTTACTTAAAAACCCGTTTTAATAAAATATTATTGAACGGATATCAACAATCTTCCATCGGTTGTTTTAATTTTTCTTTGTGGAGTTAAAGAACGCCTCATTTGAGTCAAACTGGGAGATCTTAACAGTTTACAGCTCTTTTAATGTAAATCCTAGTTTTGTTTCAAATATCATCGAATGGATGTTAAAAAATCTTCTCTTTGTTTCTTTAATTCTTCTAAGCGGAGTTTAAGAATTCTGACATTGGCCATAACGCAGTAAGCACCTTCAAGCCTTTCTCTAGATGCGCTAGAGATAAATCAACACTGATAAAAATTGAGAATCTACTGCTTTTTTAATGTAATACCCGCTTTTTCCTAAAGTATCATACAATGGAAATCAACCAATCTTTCCATCGTCGTTTGAATACTTATAAGCGGTGCTAAGGAACTGTAGGATTAACTATTTAATAAATTTATTTATATCACTGAATATGCCTCATATTTCCACAATGGGAAAAATCTGCCACTTTGTCATTGTTATTTTAAAAACTCTTTGCTTAACACATCACAGAACAGATATATACGTTTCAGTGCATCTTTCCTCGTTGCTAGAACTCTTCTTAGAAGTGATGGGATAACCATTTATTTTGCTAAATATACAGCTTTACTTTGGTGATGGTTTCAACTTAATAATATGAAAAAAAATGTCAGAATTTCCAACATAGAAATGTTCAAAATTATTACAAAATTTTGAAAATCTTATATAAATTCAATTGCTTATTGTTTATAAAGCAATTCAATGTAATTTCTATTCTAGCGCCTTTATCTTAACTAGTTTATAGAAAATAAAATATGTTATTAACATTATTCCTTAATGTTATTAACATGTATCAGCAACCAAATCCACTATTTTACATAAACTTTCATTTCCTTTGACTAAAAACGAGCGAAGCATGTTTAACAAATTTTGTTGTAAGAAAATTCTTATAAAAAAAATTCTTATTGATTTATTGACGATTAATTTATTAAAAGGTAAAGGAAAATTATTACAATTACTTTATATTATATTACAAATGACTACAACATAAAAAAAAAAATTTGCTAACACTCAGTGTATTGAATTTTTATATGCACTGTTAGATAAAAAATATTTTTGTTAACATTATATAACATATGAAATAAGTCATAAATTTAATGCAGTTTTTAGAAATAAATTAATATAATATATGAATGTATATCTTTCAACATTTTCCTTAATCTATAACTATACCCTTTGTTTAATATTTTTACTTAAATGAATAATAAATAACGTAGCATATTTGTTTAGTTACTTAACTCACTTACCATGAATAATATATTATAGTATTTAAGACTTTATTGTTGTCAAAACTTCAGATTTGCATATAAATAAATGTGCAGCAAGTGCAATTTATGACACCGTGTCTAATTTCAACATGCACCGCACAGAAACCCCATAAAAGCATATTATCCCTATACAGTAAAAATTTTACATAAAATATGCTCCATGTTTTTGATTTACTGCCGAAAAAGTGCCAAAATCTTCTTATCACTGCAAACATATCAGCACACAGAAACCCTTACACCGAAGCGACTATGGTTTTGTTTTAACTATGCTTGATTGCAGCACTGGCACTGCACTAAGCAAAATTTATGCTATCAAGGGCGTCAGTAAGGCTAGACTGTGCTAAACATAACTAGACGGAAGTGCTGCTATTACTGAGAAGATGGCGTTTCGATGCACTCTATAAGCTTTTCAGTATAAATATGTTTTGTTTTTCTTTTTTATGAATACCGTGATATGCATTTCGCTGGGCTTAACCAAAAAACTGTGAACAGCCATTGAATGCAATTTTTGTGCGGCTTTTGCGCTATTGTTCTTTCGGCGATTATTGATGACTTTGAAAGCTTTTACACTAAAAACTGCTGCACTTTATTGCCAAAACTAAACAGACAAGATAAAAAATCTGCAAAAAAAGAAAAAACACAATTTGGAACTTCATGTGTGGAAACGACAAATGCAACAGCAAAAAGTAATGCAAGCAATGCATTTTATATTCCACACGTAAATGAACTTTGAATGACGCAAATAAAAACTTTAGTTTAGTAACTTCTCAAATAAAATAATCAGAAAATGCCAGCAAAAAGATAAGAAATAACAATGCAATAAATATGCAATCCATGCTCCTCCATTGAAGTAAACAATTTCCGAGTGCAGCAAAAAAAGTTTTATTGAAACATTAGAGTTCTATTGTTACTTTTGGCATAAAATTTTATTTTTATTCTTATTAAACCCAATATGGTAGGTTTCTGATTTTGAAGGTTTCATTTTATGTCAAGTCGAGGAAATCCATACCAAAATTTTTATGACACTAATTTAACAGGTATATATAGTACCTCTGGTAATTAGTCAATAATCAATTTGTAATAATAAGTTAACAACTGCTTTTACTTATATAGCATTGCTAAATAATAAAGCTCAACAGCCCTTTTAAATTGTGAACAGGAACTTTAGACTAAGCCTGGATTAGTACTTTATATCCAATTCACTCTTTTGTGAGACATTATCTTTATGTCTGACAAATTCATATAATGACTAACTTAAAGCTTATAAAAAGAGTCATAAAATATTTAAAAATATTGAGATAATGGAAAACATTATTATAGCATAATTATTATTGGGGCTTCAAACCTTCCTTAAACCACTAAAAATCTAAAGTACATGCGATCAAAAGCCATGTCTTTGAATTTCTAAATGTAACAAGAGAAAATTTTATTGATTCAAGATATTTAAGCATTTAAGAAACCCACAAACAGATATTATATTAAGGATAGTTTAAAAATATTAGGAATTTTTAATTTCTTTTACAAGTACTAATTTTAATCATTATTAATTCCAACTTCTTCAAACTAGTGCTTCTGGAATATTATGCACTTACATCACCCTATATTAGTTTTTAACATGAGAAACATTATTGAAATATCTTTTTAAAGAAGTTTTTGCTCTTACTCTGCGGTTTCGGGTTTAACACGCCATATATGGTTATGTCTTCACTGCCTAATTAAATTTGTAAATTTAGAAAAATATGTAACATGTCAAGTCTGGAGAATATAATGGTTACGGCATTACAGTGAAGCTACATTTCATCACTAACTCTTCGATAACGGCAATAGTGTGAGAATTTAACATAATACATCCACCTCTAAGGAATGCATGGATAAGATTTCCACTACTAATCCGGAGAGCAGTGTGATAAATTTCATTCCAGTAATTAAGAGAGAGACAGTTTAGATAAAGAGGCTTAGTACGAAAAAGCCTAGGTTTATTTAAGCTCGAAAACTTAGACGTATTATAAGGGATGAAGAGAATGAGGCTATAAAGGTGGCCGAGTAGTCAAATTTATACAGATGACATATTCGAAAATTATTTAAAATTTTGTTATTAGATTAACTTTTCTAAAACTCTTAATAAATCGAGAAATATATCTAAATAAATATGATTAATTAATAAACACTGATACACAAAGTACAATAATCAAAAATTTATTTCTTTATAAAAATTTTTTAATTTATTTGAATGTTATTTTACAATAACTCGCTTTACTTACACTTTA